GTGTCGCGGTCATCGACCTCTAAGCCGCCAGGGCTTGTCCAACGGATTCGTGGGAGATTGAAGTCCCCACCAATTATCAGGCTGGGGGCTGGGTCACCCAGTTCAGCCACCCTGGTCTCTATTTCCTTAAGGGTTTTTTTGAAATTTTCCGGCGGACAAGCAGGCGGTCTATAGACTATAGCTACGCACAAGTCATATTTTTTTATGTGAAGTAGCACGTATTCAACAAAGCCGTCAGAGTTTCCAGATTTCGATCTCAATTCTACAGTGCTTCTTGCGAGGGAGTTCCTAAGGTAGACAATTACTCCACCCTTCTTTCTCCCTTCTTTCCGGTCCGCGCGGTAGTGTTGGAATCCTTCCATTGTAATTTCTGCATCGAGGATATCTTTTCTTAGGTGCGACTCCGTTAGTGCAATCATAAAGATCCCACCCTCGTCGGCCATCTCACCAGCATCTTGTGACGCGCTCTCAGTGGGAAGAGCCCCCCGATGTTGGCCAGCAGAATGCCAGACTCTTCCCTTATTGGTGCGCTTACCTGCGTCTCCACCACTCTGCCTGGAAGAAGCAACCGCGCAACGCGCGGCTACAGCTGAGGTACGGCCACTCGGAATACGGCTGTAAACGTGCGCGTGAGATACAGTCGGTTACGAAAGTCATTTTACTCAACGGAACTGCAAAGGATCAACGTTTTCTGGTAAATAGAGTGAGTTGAGTGGTGTACACTAATAGGTTCTCAATTTTGATTGCGTTCAGATTAGGTACCTTTATCATGGGCTTGAGATTTTCGTTAACGTGGGATGTGAACTTGAATTTCCCAAATTAATATGAAATGAAGCAGTGTTTCATTGCAACCCTCTCTCTGTACGATTTTTGCCGTAACCTATTCATATCGAGAACCTTACTTACAACGTGCCGGTAATGACCACTGCAAACCAACCTGAGAGGATTAAAGCAATTGACGATCGAACGATAAAACCCATAATGTACGGTCAACATCTATAAATTAAATTTCCATAAAATCCTTCAAAACCCTTTCATTTTTCACTAGGTCCTCATTTGAAGAGACAATTAGAGAGCAAATATTTCAATAAATTCATTTCCGATGGACTTGTTGCAATACAACTGAATTTCAAGAGGTTATTGAACCAAAATACAAGAAAAATAAGTTAGTCAACAGCCTGGCTAAGCTAAGGTTAATCTCACAATTTTTTGGCTAAAATCTACCGTTTCAGCCAAACAATTGTGACTCTTGACTAACACTTACATAGATAGAGCCAAGCTAGTCACAAGTATTTTCTTTTTAATTTACCCTAGAAATTAATTGAAATATTTTACTTTTTAACAGTTTTAGCAATCAAGTGAAAATATAAAACAGGAAATTTAATTGTCAATAAAAGTAATAAACTACCTGCACAATGCTCATGCAAAATATTCAATGACAAATTAATTAAATAATAAATATCTTACCTTTGGCCAACCATTCCTTCTGAATATTTATTGGTAAGGCAGCTGCTTAAGCATTCCTGCACAGCACGAGATGTGAAGTTCTCTGATGCAATCATTTCCAGACCACATCTTTGACGTCTCTGTAAAATATTGCACATTATCAATCATTAATTACAAAAGCTACCCATTTTGTAAATATCTATGTTCTAATATTAGTTCATTTTCCTCCATTTCACCCTCTTCCAAGAAAATTCGAACTAGTATACGAGTGCAAGTAAAAAAATTTCCTCCTGTGAATAGGCGCACTTATTACCTTAGAAAATTCAATAAAACATCCTTTCAAAATACTTGAAGTTCAAATAAGTAGAATAATGAACCTAATTTTGGAGCACATTCAAACATAAGTGCATAGAGTCATAAGTAAGAAGATAAAATAGAAGAAAATTATCAGTGCAGATAGTAAGAGAGTTCTGAAGAAAATTTGAAGCATCAATTTTTTAAGCTTCCTCATAATTGCAACAGTATTGGTAAGTGGTAGCAGAATACCTTTTTAAAATTACATGCCTGAATAATTGTGCTGGAGATAATTTTTGATGAGTAAACTTTATATTTGCCTATAATTGATTGATTTTGTTACACACTATCCACATTTAGTATGTAGCTGCAAATATAAGTAGTATGTAGCTGCATATATAAGTAGTATGTAGCTGCATTTATAAGTAGTATGTAGCTGCAAATATAAGTAGTATGTAGCTGCAAGATGTGAACTTTAATCTACCAATCTAAGAAATTATCCACACATACATATAAAAATCAGTATTTTTTTGTATATATATATATATATATATATATATGTGGATTATTTTTGAAATTTAGTTTTTTCTATTTCCTCATAATGGGAGTTCTATTTCCTCATAATTATCATTATTTACAAATAAATGGTATTTATATGTCATTATTTAGGTTAATTGCAAAGTGTTTACACTCGTTTGAAAGCTACAAACAAGATGCGTTTAACAAAGCTACTACCATGGATTTTCATGCAATAGTTTTTGCGTAATGCCGTTGTAAATTTATGCAAAATGAATATTTTATATATATATTTATACATAAAAATACATTTATCGCCTATTATTCACGTTAAATTGAACATAAATAGGTCTAAAGACGCGTGCTGGTACCTTGAATGCAAATAATTGGCAATGGGAAAGCTTGGGCTACAATATCAAGACTTTTTGGGGCATATTCTTCCGTTTTCAACGAATTTTACTTTATTTGGCTCCCCGGAACAATTTAAAAATCCAAAAAACGCCATCTTAAAAAAAGTATAACTCCAAAGGTTTTCAAGCTACGGCAATGAGAGACATACCATTCGGTTTGTAAAAACAATACCTAGCGACTCTAGAAGCATTTTTTTAATATGTGCATGGTTTGACTTATATATGGGAGAGGGAGGAAGGTGGGGGGTAAAAATGTGAAAAAAATGGGAAGAACGCGAAAAAAACGATGAGGAAAATAAAAAATCGGGGCTCTACAGTCGCTAGATATTGTTGTTACAAATCGAATGATATGTGTCTCGACATTGTAGCATGTGATTTGCAAAAGTTATAAATTTTTTTAGAGTACCCCTTATATGCCGTTTTCTATTAATTCCATGTTTTCTTTCATTTTTTTCAAATTTACATGAACAAAAAGGTCTTAGATTTCTGTTGTACATATGTGTACCAAGTTTCAAAACGATCCGTCTGTAAACAAAAAAGTTTTGTTGGAGGGTAGCCGGTCCCCTTACGTAAAATCTAAAGGCTTTATCTATAAATGTAGCGGTAGCGCTGTAGCGGCAAAACATCGTATCGCTACTTAAATATGTAGCGGGCGCTACCGCTACCGCTACATTGCCTTAAATGTAGAGCCGCTACCGCTACCGCTACTGAAAATGTAGCGGCCGCTAGTAGCGGCCGCTACATGTAGCGCGCTACTGCCCACCTCTGGGTACAAGTAGTATGTTGCTACATATACAAGTAGTATGTAGAGGAGTTGAAAGTAAAGAATCTAAATTTATAAAATACTGTCAAAAGTCATAAAATACTGTCAAATACAGTGCAATAAATGTTACATGTGCAGTTGTTATATAAATTTCAACAAAAATATTGGAATTGCAAATTTTCCATGTGACTGTCACATGCATCTATAGTATAATTATTTATGAAAAAATTTCTAAGGTAATTATCTCATTGTGTTAGGTGTTTGCAACATTTTTTCATATTCTTAATATCATGCATACCTTCTCCTTCTGAATAATTGAATAAAGATCAGGATCATCCTCTTGCAGAGGCTTTGTGAGATTCAATTCTTCAGCAATTCCATTAGTCGCCATGTTTGATTTATTATATAGGTATAGACTCTGAGACTTCTGAAAAATTAAATCTGGAAAATTAAAATGGGTTATCATGACAAACAAGCAATAAAATCCAGACTATACACCAGTGAAACCAAATTAAAAGTATTCTTGGATGGACCACAGCATTCTAGGTCTCATATTCATGATATAAATAAAATAAGAAATCATGTAATTAAATGCTCACCTATTTATAATCATACCAGCAAAAAAGCTTGCTTCTGCTGGTATGATTACCAGTTTGCTTCTGCTGGTATGATTATCAGCTTGCTTCTGCTGCTAATCATACCAGCTTTATAGCTTGCTTCTAATGCATCAAGCATGGTATTCTAGATAAGGAACTGAAGACATCTAGATAACCATAAGGAACCTGTGAACATAGTCAAGATGCCCATGACTATGAACTGCTATGGGTAGATTTGCACATGGCTTGTTTTAATTCTTAGGTATCATCTTGACCTAATATGGTAAAGTTCATTGTGGGTTGACACAAATGAAGTAATTTTTCTAGCATCATGGATGGTAAATTTGAGAAAAGAGATAATTTCACAGAGAATTAGCTGCAAAAATCCTGTCATGGCTTGGGAAGTACATATTATTTAGTGTAAACCTGGATAGCCATAAAGTAAGATCTAATAATAATAAGATAAATATTATATCAAGATCTTTTGGAATCAGATCAGGCAGAAGCATTTAACTTGTCACAAACATCAGAATTGAAAACTGGGGTTGGTAGATCCAGCACAACAATTCAAGATTTAATGTTTGGTGGCCAATGAGAGTGACTAACAAGAGTAACTTTCAATGGTGGATTGCATCAGCAAGAAAGAGGGCTTGTGCAAACTCAATTTACAAAAGGTGTTAATGCCATTTATGAATTGTTGATGGCAGAGACTATGAATAAGGAAGATATTGATGTTAACTTTGCATTCTTGATGAGTAAACAAAAAAGCTGTCAGAGTTAAACAAACAGCTGTAGTACCGTACCTCATATTTACTGAGGAAACTGAAGATGATTTCATTAAGAAATAATTCCAAATATGTGCCACTTATGACAAAAATTCCTCAATACAGAGTTGAAGGTGCAAGCAGTCTTGCAGTTCTAAAATGAGTTTGTTTTTGCCATCACTGCAACCATCAGAATACAGCAGCTTGGCCAAGATAAGGTCATTCAAGTTACCCAAAACTGAGTTGAAGGTGTTTGATGGGAACTTGCTAGAATGGCTTGGATGGTGGGCATAGTACACTAGCATATCTTCTTGCATATCTTCTCCAGGGATTAAAGGATGGGCGAACAGCCAAACAAACTAGAATGCTACCCACACACAGCAGAAAATTATGGCAAAGTAATAGCAGCACTAAAGGAGAGATATGATGCTAGAGGCCTCCTGCTGCAAGTCTATGTGAGAGAATTGCTACAGCTTGTCAAGAGTTCTACTACAATGCACCAAAACCTGGAGTTATTTGAAGTTATTTTACCAAAAAATATAATTGATTTTACCACCCGGTCTAAGATACCCCAAGAGCTGGGGTAACAAAGACCATCACTTTTTTTTAAATTACATAAAGACTATGAGAGGCAGGAGCCAGAAATTTATGGTGAGTGAAGCTAGAGTATAGACTTGTATTTTGCATGTTTCAATTCTAGTTTAATTTAGCTAGTGAAAACTGGCATTTATAAAAAAAGTGGTCTAAGTTACCCTATTTAACGGTATATACCGTCAAACGGGGTAAAAAGGGACGGTTTTGAGCGTTTTTTGTTAACAACTTCTTACCATGAAACATTTCAGAAACAAGTTTAGGCTCGTTTTATAGCTCTTTGCGAGGGCTATCCAATGTCATCTTCAAAAAATTCCATATGCTATTCGTAAGGTGCCAGACGCAAAACAAAATCGTCCTGATTTACTCCTGGGAACGGGGTAATCTGGGACACTTGCAATATAAGTTAATTTTAAAACGTTTGAAGCATGCAGACTTATTGCAGAGTGTACTCATCCATTACTAACAGTACTTTGAAGTCCTCTTTCATTGTAGATGATGTAGGTGTAAAATAAATGACATTTTCTATGATTTTTACTTGTTTTTCCTTTATTGATATTATATTACCATATTCATTAATTACCATATTATTAATGCGATATTACTGTATCCATGGACATGCCATTGAGCATTGACATTTGACAACAACCTTGTCCACTGCAAGCTTCATATCAGCAGCCATGTAGCATTTCTTCTGTATCTGACTATCTGTGAGCTTACAGGATGCCACACTCAGGAAGATGTATATAAACGGGGAAATTTCCTGTGCATAAATAGTTTTTTATATTTTCTTCGCGCACGCGTTCGGGCAAATCATGGTCATCGATTCCATGCCACGCAGCACTCGGTGCGGGCCGCGGAGCCGTCCGACCCAGTTCTGATTTAGACAGTTTTCATCTGAATGGAACGGCAACATCGTCTGTAGATTTCAAGTAATGCTGAACGATCTTCGACTTCAAGTGTGATGTGTCCCTCTGAAGCTATTCTCATTTTTATTAATGTCTGTTGTTCGCCTCTATAATTAATCTTCATCGCTGCAATAAAAATGAAAATTTATAATTAAGATAGATTTCTTCTGGTGCCTGTGTTTTTTTTATGCAATTAGCACTTATTAGTGAATGAATGATTTGTGGTGTGGTTCTTTAATCTTGACTTATGCAGTTCGCGCAATCCCGGCCATCAATTCTACACCACACAAGAGCAGTTTGTGGAGGAACAGACGCAATTCTCAGTACAGTATGCCTTTAATTATCCTTCTATAATATATGATTTTTCTTGATATGGAAATTTAGTGAATGAGAAATCTAGAACTTTATTTTGGAAGAAATTATCTCCAAGACTCCAAAGTCATATGGCAACACTGAACACCGTATTTTTACATTTCGTATGTTTAATAGCCCAGTTTACGATTACCATATGTTCCGTATCCGACAAGTGGAAGAGTCAGAAGTAACCCGTAGTCCCAGACATTTCTTACATTTTATTATTGTTAGTTTGACTCGCGTAGTTGATATAAACTTTGATGACCAACGAAATATAACTTTTTAATAGGGAAACTTCATGTTTATTATACTACAAGTAATCATCTTTATTTAATTATAGCCAGTGGTGGGCACAGTTCCGCTAATCCGCTAACCGCTAATTAGTGAAGCTAACTTTTTCCTTATCGGATAAGCTGTTCAGCTAACTTTGAAAACCTTTAGCGGACCAATTAGCTTCCGCTAAAATTAGTTCCGCTAACTGGTAGTCCGCTAAAAATGTTTTAAAATCTCTGATTTAATGCTAAATATCGTAAGCCGTGTGCCACGCCCACACTGACGGCTGACTTCATCATCAAATGATTGTCAGCCAATCACGTCTTGTGTTACTGGCAGTAACACAAGACGTCCTGTACTGCAGTCCTCTGGTGGACGCAATGCTGGCAGGCATCACGAAAAGGTTTGGGTCCCTCCTAGAAGACAAGGAGTGCCAGCTGACAGCGGCCTTCCACCCTAAGTTTTGCCTGTTCTGGCTGGAAAAGCATAATCACAGCCATCTCAGCAGGGTACAGAAGGCCATGGAGACCGCCGTGGAGACAGCCCTGAGGGAGACCGTTGAGGAGGGCAGCAGCACCACCAGCAATGACAAGGATGGGGAAGATGACTTCTTCAGCAGCATTACTCAGCCCATGGAGTGCAGGAGAAGCCATGGGCCACTGAAGTCCAAGGCACAGAATTTGGTGAAGACCTGGCTGGAAAGCAGCTCGAAGGAGGAATTGACTGACGTTGCCTTCTTGGGCGAGCAGGTGTTGATGAACCTTTTCGTTAAGTACAACACAGCCATCCCATCCAGTGCTGCAGTTGAGCGCCTGTTTTCCATAGGCTAGGACATCTTGAGTGCCAAGAGAGCCACCCTGTCAGATGCCAACTTTGAGAGGCTGATGTTCATGAAGGGCAACAATCATCACCTCGAGGAAATGAAGGCGAAGGGCAAGCCAGAGTAAAAGGAGTGTGTAACCCTGGTGTAACCTTAACATTTCTTATTCTTTTAATAAACTGTATGTTGAATGTCAACTACTGCCTAATTTCATTTGTTCATTCAATTATTTATGTTACGTACATCTTGATCATCATCTGATCTTGGCATGCTACATCTTTTTGGAAAGCTCCTTTTCAAGGCTTAAAGTTCAGCTCTGTAGGCCTTTTTTCAGAGTTCCCCCCCCCCAAATTAGGCCAAATTTAGATTTATATATCAAAAATTAGCGGTTAGTGGTTAGCGGCAAATTCCGCTACATTTTTCGGTGATTTATCGCTTTAGCGTTATCGAAGCTAACTTTTCAGTTAGCGGATTAGCGGTTATCGAAGCTAACTTTTAGGTTAGCTGTGCCCACCACTGATTATAGCCATGTTGAAATGTGTTTTTTTTTGAAGCCTGCTCCTAGATCACTAATGTTTTTATATACATCCTCATATTGTTAGGGATGCTCGCCGCTTCCATCAGATCTTAAAATGTAAAAGTTTAATAGATACAGATTTGTATGAATAATGCCATTCAATATTGTTAGCTACATCAAAATGAGGGTGGAACATGGGAATGGCAATGATTAATTTATCTGAAGCAACCTTTACAAAATTAGTGTCAAACAAGCAAACGGATGTCATGTCAACCGGAACTCAAACACCACAGCAGAGAGTACAGCAATCCCTTGATTAACGCGGTTAATAAATCCCCGAGTTTTACCGTGTTAAGCAAAACCGCGCTAATCAAACTTAAGAATATATGGGAATAATTATAATGAATCCTCAAAAATAGCAAAGGAAAGGAATATTATGTAGTTTGATAAAAGTGAGCAGTAGATATGGCAGCGATCTTGACCAGTTGAAGGCTAACGAGTAACTAGCCCTTTACGCACTGAATTATGTTTCGAAAGTGAAAAAACAATCTGAATTACTTTTCAGATCACGGCAGTCTTTGTGTTAAACTGGCAGTAGCGACGCGCCTACTCAATCAAAC